GGAGTGCTGACAGGCCCAGGAGGAAAGGATTTTTTTTTTTTTGAGATATGTTTTCTTTGACACTACAGACCCTTGAAAGGCCCTTGAAAGTTACATTCCTCTTAGAGCAGAGAGCTGAGAGCTGGGTAGGGGACACAGAGAAGGAAAACATGGGAAAAGATAAAGAAAGGGAATAATTTATTTCAGAGTAACTGTAGGAGACCCAAGGAGGACTTGGTTGGGGGAGTGGCATGTGGGTTTTTTTTCTAAGTTTGTCCAATCATAAAGTCTTTCAGTGTTTGCAAATTCTCAGCCCGTATCTTTTGGATGATCCTGGCCTCACTCACGCCATCTCCAAAGGTGGAACTGGTTTAAATTATTGACTCAGGTATGGACCCACAGCTGCTAACTCAGACAGACTCATGGATTTGGGATGGAATCTTCCAGGAAGGAAATAAGTATTGTTTATTTATTTGCACTGCCAGGATCTAAAGGGTCCTCCTTGTATCCGTCAGGTTGTTCCTACCTTCTAGGTCAGGATATGGCACCTCAGAGGAATAAGAGAAAAACATCTGTGTTCTAAACATGGACACAGATACTGTTAATGCCTATACAAGACAAAATTCATTACCTGCAACCTCTGGACAGAAGGAAAGTCAAGTGTAGAGGACCAATTCCAAACAAGATGGCTGTTTGAAGCCAATGCCAGGAGAAGGCAAGGAGGCTTTAGGTGACGCAGGGAGGCTCCAAGCTAATAGTTAACCTGGCAGGCTTTCCTTCCAGGCATTGTGTGAGGTGTTTACGTGCACAATTCCACTCCCTCCTCTGTGAAGTAAGTAGTGTTATTGTCCCTATTTTTTGGAGAAGCAAATAGAAATGTAAGAGGCAGAATAACTGGCCCATGGCCATTCAGCTAACAAAAGCAAAGCAAAGCAAAGCAAAGCAAAGCAAAGCAAAGCAAAGCAAAGCAAAGCAAAGCAAAGCAAAGCAAAGCAAAACTAAACATCATGCAGCAGGGATTCAACCCGAGGCAGCCTGATTGTAGGGCCTCAGTGAAGTACACACAGATCATGTGGCCTACAGGGTCAAAGGCTGCTTGGTGTGAGTTTGGATGAAGGCTGAGAAGACAGTGTATTTGCTGACTGAAGGTCATAGATGGTTTTAGTGAGTGTTTCACAGAGGGCTAGGGAGGGAAGGAAGAAAAGAATAGAGCCGGGTAGAAATGTGGATCAGACAAGGAAGAAGCAGCTGGTAAGGCCCAGCTACCCTGGAAATTCATCACAAACAGGAGGAGGAACAATGACAGCCATAGGAAGCAACAGTCCAAGGAAGGCTTTTTGTCCTTTTCATCTTGTTGGTGTCACTGGAAGGCATCTGCCAGGCAACATAATGGGATGGATAGAAAGTGAGCCAACTGAGGGACGGAGAGAGGTCCATGCTGGCCCTGTAATCACAGCATACAAGCACCATCCTTTCTTCAGGAGAGAAAAAAAGAGACGAGCAGGTAAACGGGTAAGCCAGTTAAATGGTGAGGCACACTGGCAGGCAGAAAAGCTAGAGGCAAAGGTGTTGCCAGGGAGTGATGCAGACTGGCTACTAGAGTGCACTGGGAAGACCAGGCTGCTCCAAGACTGTAGGCTTTATATTTTATATATTTTACAAATTTATTTATGTATTTATATTTGTCTTTATATTTTGCCCACATCTTTTACATTTAAAAAGTTTTGAAATAATTTAGACATATGTAAAAATTGCAAAAGTGGGATCATGGTTTGGCCCTATTCCTTGGCCTTACTTATTCACCTCATTTTTGTTTTGTTATTTGAGACAAATGAAGCCAAGGCTTGCCTGGAACTTATTCTGTAACCAAGAAACTTGCTTTGTAGCTGGCCTGGACTCATGGTAATCCTTTTACATCACCTCCCAAGTGCTGGGATTGCAGGCATGAGGCAGAGCCACCATGACTGGCTCATCCCTCTAAAAGCAAGCCATGCCCCTGGTGGTCCTGTGCTTAAAACACTGCACTATGCAAAAGCCATTCTTCTTGATTATATTCAAAATCCTTCTCTCTCCAGGTTCTGTGTCCCCTGACACTTGGCCCATTTCCTCTGGCCCTTTTTTTCTGACCTTCTACCTGCTTTCAACTCCCACATAGTTCCCTTGTCTCTAGTTGTATAAGATACTGAGCTCCTTAAAGGAGAGGGTCCAGACCTCAGGCCACAGTGATTTTTAAATCTTGCATGATGGCTGACAACAAATGAATGCCCCTTACAGAAAGCTATCGGAGCAGGGACCTAGGAAACCAGGAAGAGGTTACATCAGGTATCACCCTGGGTTATATAGTAGTCCCTAGGGTCCTGGGACTCCCTTGGATGGAAGAAGGTCTGGGGTACAAAGCAACCCTCTTGCAGGAGCTGCACTCATGACTAGGAGCTTTTGCCATCTATCCTCTTCTTCCTGGAGAAGGTGGGCTCATACAGCGCATAGGTGGAAAATAGACCTTTCCATCCCTGGGACTGTCAGTGGGGCTCACTCAGCTTTCTGTTCCTGGCAATTAGGTGCAGTCTGAGGGGAGCTCTTGGCTTCCTCCATAAAGCTGGAGAAAGATACCAGCATCTCAAGCCTTTGCCAGGGATAGTTTTCCTCATATAGTGAGAGCCATGGCTTGAGTCACTGTAAGTTTGAAGACAAGGAAGAGTCTGGTTAACAAGCTGGGCTCTTTAGGTAAGCATCTGACCTGCCCAGTGATTGGGAGGTGTGTGCTTGCCCTCCAGTGGCCACATGTTAGAACTGCAGCCCAACAATCACATCAACTCTGCTCACTGTTCAGGTTGACAAGCCTAGAGTGGACTGCCAGACACAATGGACCAGGCGGTCAGTCTCCCAGATCCAAAGGCATCCAAATGAGATAAATGTTCTATATGAGCAAAGGAGTGGGTCACTCACAATGTGGACAAACCTTTACTTTTTAGTTTGGCATTAGAAATTAGGATGAACCATTAATGAGGACAAAGAGCTCACCCACATCCACTTAGCTTATAAGCCTCCATCCTGGGCCATGTCATATCTACCTATGCTAAGTTTTCTTCTCAATACAATGAGACACTTGGACTCTTGTGTGGCTGTTAAATTCCGTTAAAATGTCTGAGTTGCTTAAGAAGTTTCAAACATGTGTTCACATCCACCTGACAGGTCTACTAAGTCAGGTGAGGCAGGAATAGGAATAGATGTCTCACCAGAAGGATAAAGTGCATCTTAAAGTGGCAGCTGGGAAACAGTGGGTAGACTGAAAATTCATGAGGTCAGGGACATCTTGTTCATTTCAAACCCCCTAGTACTGGGCATTTGTGAAATGAAAAAACAATGAAAAAATTCTGAGGTTCAGTAGCTTGTAACTGTGTATCACGGTACATACATGGATGCAAAGAGCCCTCTATAAACATACAAAAGCATATTATCCCACAAAGGCAAAGGAAGATGTAGCCTGCCACACTGAAGGTGGCCCTAGCTACCTGACACCCTGTTTCTCACACACTTAGACATATGCTTCTTTGGTAGGCTCTATTTATTGCACACCCATTGGGTGCCTGGGCCAGCCCCAGGCCCTGGCCAGAGACTCCCCTGGTCCACAGGACTAGCTCCACTTTGCTGAGCTCCAAGCTCCCAGAGTTGTAACAAGCATTATTGGAGGGGAGGATGTGTGGCCCAGCAGGAAGGCAGGAGAGGCACCATGTCAGCTAAAGGGTGGGCAAGCAGAGGCTCCCAGTTGGCCAGAAACCTCTTTGCACACATGGCTGAACAGAGACAATGGTGGCTGCTCCCAGAGCCCAGCCTCCTCCTTACAGGCACAGCCCTAAGTCTCCAAGTCTCCAGAGCCTCCTCTGGAGAAGAGGCATACCTGGGAAGAAGCCAAAAGAAGTACAAGGGGATTCCCCAAGGCAGGGCAGCAAAGCCCTGGGAGTTGCCTGGGAATGAGAAATAGGTCCTGACACTCTCAGGAATGCAGCTTTGAGGGGCATCGAGGGTGGGGGTGTCTGCAGAAAGCGGTGTCCCAAATCTGGCTAAGAACCCAGGTCTCTAATCTCCACCTCCACCGCCTGGCAGACTCCCAACTGTTACCACTCTTTCACCCCCTTTCCCTCCACAGTGGTCTACACTTGAAGAGCCAATCTCATTGCTCTTAGGAAACAAAGGCTTCTTGTTCCAAGAGTTCTCCAAAGAACACTAGAGGGCCCCACTCCTGACCCTGGCTCAGGCCACAGGCTCTGCTCTGGTGATTAACACCTGGGCATGCAGTGTTCTCATCTGCACACACACCCCTTCAGGGGGCTACTGGCTGATTGTAGCCAGAAGATCAGAAGCTTGGGGCCCCACAGCCTACTTGAGCCCTGAACCTGCCAAGGCTTTTGATATAAAGCTGCCTTCTAGTGGGCCATGCTGTAGAAACATTGCTCCCTGGGTCAAAAGATGCTGGTTAGGAATTCCTGAGAGACCCTGCCCTGCCTGTCCTCCTGGGACCTTCCCCTGCTAGGCTGTCTAATTCCCAAAGCAAGACTGTTCCCAGTGATGTAGCTGTTCTGTCTAGACTGCCTCAAGCTACCTCCCAGAAACCCAGGTTCACATGTGTCCAGGAAGTGAAACTGCTCTGTGTCTTAGGGATGGAGCCATATGGGACAAACTCTGCAAGTGGAGCCATGTCCTCACTCAACTTTGCTCGTGAATGGTCAGGGATGGGCTGATGGAGGAACTGCCATGGGGGATAGTGAGGAAGTATGGCAGGATTAAAAACGTTCTAAAGAGCCAGAGAATGGGTGACACAGGAACGTGAGCCCCGGCCTTCATCACAGAAAGGGGGGATGCCTCATCCCTCATCATAGTCCTGGCAACATAAGGTTTCATCTCAAGTGCACCCTAGAGCAGGTGTTGGTGTCTGTGGGATGGCGATGGCTTCACAGCTGATTGCGGTTTCTCTTGGGAATGATCTTCCTGTATGTTCTGCGCTCGGAGATGTTGCGTTTTACCTTGGCCGTAGTAGGGGCCTCATCCTGGTGCAGGGATGGGCTTGAGTGACACTTCTTTAGGCTGGGTTTGGAATCCTGAGTGCCTTCAGCTTCCTTCCCAAGTTGATCTTCCCACATAGCCAGGTCCCCCAAAGGAAAGTGTAGCCGGGCCACCAGAAGCTGCACATATGTCTCATATCGAGTTTTCTACAACATATAACCACACTTTAGCACAGTCCAGACTCCTGAAGGGTAGACAGTTCAGAGGTGTTTGAAGCTATGGCAATAGAGGGACAGCTCCTAAGCTTCTACTGAGGTTGAGCCACACCTTAGAACAACTGGCATCTGTGGAACACGATGCTGACAACCCCCCATTGGCTTATATAATTCAGGCCTCTGTGACTAGTATACCACTATCTGGAATACTATTCCAGATTCACAACCCCACTGGCTCCAACCTGGGCAGTTAGCTGGGTGTGAATTAATTTCATGTACTTTATAAAGAATGAATTAGTCAATGGATAAAAGGCCCAATTGGGTTGTGATAGGGACAAGCTGGGTCTTTACCTTACCCAAAGACCTCTGGGAAGTGGGCAGCCATCGTTATGCAGACAACCAATAAGGCAAAAGGAGCAGTGGCTCTGCAAGCTAGGGAGGGGGTGGGCTACAAAAAGGCCAGGTGGGCATGAGCAGGAAGCCTGCTGATGATGCCCCCCTTGCTCCCCACCTCCAGACGCTGCCTGACTCACTCTTCCTACATTGCACCTTGCCAAGCCACCTTCCTTTCTTGTGAGTCTTTACCCTGATCAGTGTCTTTAATGCCAGAAGCCAGTACTTGGCATTAGGGTCCTGTGCACTGAATCACGGCCATGGCAGAACAGGAGTGTATGTAGGTGGGGAGACTAGAATGAATAAAATCAACTCCAATTGAGACCGTGTGTGAGGTACATGTGTGACTTGAGGTTGAACAGACTAACCAGGCTTCAGTTTTTTCATCTATAAAATGAAGGTTATAGACTATATTATACTAATGTTACCTATCCCAGAATTGTTAATTGAGATAATCCTTGCAGGCAATAAAAGCACTAGGAGGGATAATACAGTATCTAGTTTTTTTATCTTAGGGAAAGCTAAATATACTCCTAAGAGAAAAAAGAATCCTGTAAGTGTTCTTGGGATAAAAGGCAAAGGATGCTGACAGACCCCACTCATTTGTGTCCCTGCATGCGTTTGTGCCCCAAGCCTTCCTGGTTCCTAGCCAGGAGAGGGTGACAGAGGATCCAGCAAATAGGAGGGCTGGCCAGGGCAAAGACAGCACGCTGCTCACCTCGTGCTCCAGATACTCCTTCCGCAAGCGGTACTCCTCTAACTCACGGCTGCGGCCCCGTCGCTCCGGCAACTTCCTCTGCAAATCCAGCAAGTCATCAGAGGCAGCATCCAGGCAGTTCTCATGGGAACGATGCTGCTCCTCCTAGAAGACAAAAGCGAAGGAGAAACTGACCCTGTCTTCCTAATCCTCGCTGTTCCCTACCTCTCTCAAACTTCTGATCCAGGTTGTGCAGTCCCTCTCCCCAACTCCCGGTTCCTGGTGCAGAGCGCTGCCCCTCCCCCAGTCTGCCCCATGCCTAGTGCTCTGCTTGAATCACCTCTTCCCTCCTGCTGGGTGTCTACCCAGGATGCCCTGCATCCTCTTCTGCCCTCCCCACACCCCTTGTTATTGAGGAGAGGTAGTACCAGGGAGCTCTGGGCCGGGCTCATGGGCAGGATGGGCCTCACGAATCTGCGCTGGGAACCCACTGCGGCTGGAAACGGGGGTGCTGAGTGTGTGGCAGCTGCCAAGTTGATGCGTGCGATCCAGGAGGCCATTTCCTTGGCAGTGCTGCAGGCAAAGGAGGTCATGTGTCCTGAGGGGTGTCATCCTATCATCTGCCTCCCCTCACACCTCTACTGCTTCCCCAAGCCAGAAGCCCCAAATTAGTAGGGATGAGGGGTAGGGGGCGACTGAGTTTTATCTGTCAGAGGGAAATCCAGGATAGAAATGGAGTTTATATCAAGTGCCCAGAACAGTCTCGGGGGGGGGGGGCATTCTAACATCTTCTGTTAGTATCTTCTGTTAAGGAAGAGGGTAGTGCATTAACCAAGGGACTGCGAGGAGTCAGAGCATCCCCAGCACCTTTCTGTCTGTATCCCCCAGCACAGAATTTGAAGGTTTCCCGGTCATGGTAGTAGGGTAGAAGCTCTGTCCAGTCAGGGTTGGGACCAACAGACACTGCTTGTCAACACTGAGCCTTGCCACTTCCCTCCTGCTGCAGGGACTCACGGTGCCTGAAAGAGGTAGAGCCGCCAGTCTGCTGTCCGAAGCTGGAAGACATGTGGCTTCTTGGTGTAGTGGGTAGCCGGGCTGGCTAGCGAGTGGTGCACTCCCACGGGCTCATCCACCATATGTCCTACCAAACTCTCTCCATCCAGCCAGTGGCCTTCTCCCTGCCAAAGACACAGGGGCTCAGTTCTGGACTTCTCCTTGAAGACCCCATTAGCTGGATTTTACATAGCACTTTAACAACTGGCATGCTTCCAGAATAATGCCGTCCCCATCAGCTTTACACTCCTAAAGATGCTGTAACTAGTGTCTCAAGATACCATTCCCAGTCTAAAAAGGTTCTCTCCTTCCCCGCCTTCTTCACCCCGGCCCTAGAAGGTCAGCAGTTGGTGCTGTTGACCCCCTTCCTACCTTCAGGAAGTAGAGAGCCATCCCTCTCAGCAAGGTGTGAAACATCTTCCAGCCTCGCTTGCCCCATGGCGCTGTCCCAAGGGGAGACACAAAAAGGTCCATGTATGCTCAGAGTCCTGGCACCCAGTCCCCCGAAAGGAGGCATGAGAGCACACAGAGGTCACCAACAAAAGAAAACACGTACAACCAAATGCACATCCAAAGTCTTCACACACAGAAACAAAACCAGAGACCTACTGACATATAAATGTTCACGCAGACCAGCTCTCCCTGAACCTCAGGTGCACGTACTCAGGCACAAATCATTCTACTCAGACCTCTTCCTAAAAAACTGATGTGTTTGCCCACTCAGGGAGCACATGGGGACCACCCCCTAACATCAGTTCCCCTTTCTCTTCCTAATTTCCTCATCCCAGCCTTGTAGGGTAAAACCTGTTCTAAGCTCCTGGCCAGAGGGAGGCCTGGTTTCCTGTGATCATCCTTGGGAGCCCCATTCAGGACAATGCTGGCCACCACATAGGTTCTAGCGTAGCTTACAGGGATTACTGCTGGTCAGGCAGCTGCCATGCTCAAGAGCTTTCAGTTGCCCTGGGATGAGCCTCAATGTCAACTGTAGTAGATTTTGTCCCTGCCATCCCCTTTCAAACATGCCATATTCGGAGTGTATTCTGTAGTGCTCTTTGCTCTATAAGGGATGTACTCAGACAATATAGAAATTCAAACCCTCTTATCTTACAAGATCATTCAGGTACCAACATTTGCCAGCACCTCCCTTATTCCTGTCCCTCCTTAGCCAGTCCTCAGAACCAAACCACAAACACCTCTACCTCCTGCTGCCCCCATACTCAACACAGCCCCCCTCCACCTTCATTTGGTGTGCTTGTGTAGTCTTTGCTTTAGCACACGGTGCTGGGGCCTGGGAATAACCAGACCTATTTTGTTCAGCATTCAGTTACCATACAGGAAGAAAACGCAGGTTGCTCATTCTTCTGTGTACCACAATATAGGACAAGGTCCCTAAGTAGACCTGTCCCTACATACACCTTTGTTCCCAGGCAGCAGATACTCACTCTTCTTGCCATCGGCATCGTGGTGCATCTTCCGAGCTAGGATGCCTTGCTTGTAGGTGGGCATTGTGGGGTCCTGAGCCATCTGGAGGAAGGGACTGCTTATCTTGCCAGCTGATGCACAGGGCTGATCCTTTTCAGGTCTGGCTGCATCTTCTTCATCTCTGATGGCAGAGAATCAGGTTGGGAATGCTGGTGGGCAAGTGCCCTCCGCCTCTTGGGGGTTCAGCACCATCTTTTAATGTGGAGGAACCATGATAGGAGCCTCCTTAAGGAAAATCTTCTCAAAAGCCAATCCATTCATCCCTGGAAATACTGCTATACATACCTCTCATCAGCCTTAGCTTCTCCAGTGTCACCCAAGTTCCTCTGCCCTCCCCTACACTGGCCCAGCGCCCTGCCTCTGACACCACCCACTCAGAGGGAAGACTCTGTGGTCCCCTCAGTTTCTCCAGTTCTCAGATGGGAAACAGTGGGTCGGCAGGTTCAGAGGCAGTGGTGAGGGCAAGAAGCAGAGGGAAGGAGGATGTCTCACTTACACAGCCCACTCAAGCTTCTCACTTCGGATAGACCAGTAGAGGGCCTGGGAGAGAAGCATATGAATAGAGGGTTGATTGACTTATTTTGTTGGCACACATCTGTGGCCATATGTACCACCTCTTCCCTCTACCCCATCATAGCTCTTCTTCTCCCAAGCAGGCAGCATTCATGATCCATTTGTCCATCTGTCCACCCATCCATCCCTGTGCCTGATACTGGAGACATAAAGATATGAAAGTAGCCAAGACCACTGCACAAGTCTAGTAAATTCTAAACTAGTCCTTTGAGAGAGAATATCACTTATCCACATACAGTTTTCTCCAAGGGTATCTGACAGAGAAGAAAATGGCTGAACAACACAGAAACATATTTGGCAAATGAAGGAGTGAATGCTAGATTAGAACTTTGAAGTAATGTCCAGGTGGATTATTACAGATGCATCTTGCTTGCTTTTGTAGCACTTGCTGTTCCTCTCAAGGTACTTGGTATACAGGAAATGTCCAATAAATGATTACTAAGTCAATGAAAGAGCCAGTGGTCCAATTGCTTATGAGGCATGTGTGAGCCAGGAAGAGTGCATGGCACCTGACAGCTTTCATTTCATCTTGATAATGATACTGTGAGGTGGTCATTTCCCCCAGAAGGAACTTGAGTTGACCAAGGGGCATGCTGCTTAAGCCTAGGATTCAAATCAGGAACACCCAGGTCCCAAACCTGAGATCAGGATTTTCCTTACATGGAACTTTATGTCTCATACATTCAATCAATACACTGGCATTTGTCAGACTTCAAAGGGGTAACAATCCCCTGAGAATATAACAGGACATTTTCAGAGGGATGTAGTGTGGCTCTATAGGTCCAGGGGTGTCAATTTGCATAGCCAACAAATCCCAAGATACCACTGACACCACCGACAGGGACACACAGGCAAACATTGTCCTCATAAAGACCTTTTATCCAAGCCACGTGTGAGCACTAATTTGCCCTTGGAACTGGAGAGTTCCAGGCTGCAGACAGAGAAGACAGGGAGCCGTACCTTCAGCAGCTCCTTGGGGAAGTTCCCACCATCCTGCAGGCCATTCAAGTTGGTTATGAATTCCTGACAGCTCATGCTCTTTCCAATGTTCTGTGGCCATGGAGAAGTGGGGCAGTTTGAACGTGCCACCCTGATAGAATATACCCCCAGGAAGTCACTGGAGAACTCCAGGGCCCTGCCCTGACATATTCTCGGTCTCTGGTCCTTTCTTCCCCTCCCCATGCCAGATCTTCCCCCCGCCCCCCACACAGGCACCTCCATCAGTGCTCTAGGTGCCCTCCCACGTCTTACCTGTCCATGTAGGTCTGTGTTAAGGAGCATGATGGCACAGGTCAAGGTGTGTATGGAATCTGCCCCAGAGAGGCAAGTACAGAGCTCATTGGAATCTGGACCACACTAAGGGTGACATCCTCCCATCCGCCCTATTTCTCTACAGCCCCAATACACTCACAGGGCTGCTGCCCAATGAATCCCCAAAGTCCTGCCTCACCTTCAGACCCAAACTCCATACCTACTGAGGGGAAGGCTCCAGGATTGCAGTAATGGAAGCGTTTTGAAAACTGGTAGAGAATTCGTTCCCTCTCCTGAGTCTCTCCACTGAGCACCAGGGCCTGGAGGAAACCACTGCCCAAGAAGGCCAAGATTGAACAGAGCCACACATTCCAGGAATTTGAGACCACTGCCCTGCAGCTGTCCTTAACCACCCCACACACGCGACTCCTGCCTCCTCAGAGGGCCAGGAGGCCTTACCGGAGGGCTCGGTCCAGGCTCTGACCTTCAAAGTGGAAAAAGGACAAGTACGCCTCAGCCACAGCCCTGCTGAAGTCATTGCTGCAGAGGACAATGGAGATAAAGATGGTGCTGGGATCAGGTTGGGGATCTGTAGGCACAGAGGGGCCCCAGGATGGCAAGAGATAAATAGGTACAACCAGGCTAGGTCCCAGGTCCCAAGAGAACAGTCAGTGGCTAGCCTGCCCCTTCTACTTGGGTCAGTATTACCTGTGGTAGGCCATGTAGAGTCTGGGGCGGGCAAGGGGAGGTGTCAGGGGTATGGAGAAGAAGTGTTTTAAGAGAGACAGAGAAGAAGGTGGAGCTGGCCAAGAATGGGGGTGGAGAGGTGAGCTGGCATGGGGAGGAGCTAGGACAGACCTAAGGTAGATAAGGGAAACAAAGGGGTGATAGGTCAGGGAAAGAGCAAGAGTGGGATGTCCTGGTAGGAAGCCTATGGGGAGCTCCCTCCTGCACTGTCTCACTCATGTATCTCAGAAGTCCCTTACTTTTTTCGTAGGTGGGCAGCCACTTCAGACTTCCGGAAACCATTCAGGTGATAGAGGCGCAATGCTAGGTTCCAGGCCCCCTTGTCATTTCTGATGTTATTAGCCAACTTGTTTCCAGACGATGGCCTCCGGCCTTCCTCTAGAGATTGAGCTTGGGGCATGGGGCTCTCAGGAAGCCTAGAAAAATCAACTTGTGTCCTCAGGCTCACGTTTGTGGTGGATATGCATGTCACATGTTCCCCAAGACCATGGGAAGTGGCCAGAGCTCAGGATTAGAACTATAACTCTTGCCATGTGCAGAAGCTGAACCCAGGTCCTCAGCATGGAGAGACAGGGTCAAACTCAGCCTTGCCTGGCCTAGGCTGGGACCAGGATCTCAGAGATGAGGTACTAAAACAAGACCCACAGGACGGAGCCAAGCTGCTGCTACACTTCCCGCAGGTGACCACAAAGATGTTTCAAGCTTGTCTAATCTTGAGTGGCAGGTGGAGCCCTTTGACAGCTTCAGTGATGGGCTGTCCACCCAGGATGAGGTTAGTGTCTTGGCTAATTTTATGTCAACTTGACACAAGTGGTCTGAAAGGAGGGAACCTTAACAAAAAAACCTTGACAAAAATACCCCATAAGATCCAGCTGTAAGGCATTTTCTCTCTTAATGATTGATCAGGGAGGGCCCAGCCCATGATGGCTGGTGCTATCCCAGGGCTAGTGGTCCTGTGTTTGACAAGAAAGGAAGCTGCGCCAAACCATGGAAGCAAGCCGGTAATCAGCACTCCTCCATGGCTTCTGCATCAGCTCCTGTCTCCAGGATCCTGCCCTGTTTGAGTTCCTGTCCTGATTTCCTTTAATGATGAACAGTGATGTGGAGGTGTAAGCAGAAAAACAAACAAACAAACAAAAAACAAACAAACAAACAAAAAAAAAACAAACCCTCTCCTTCCTAAGTTTCTTTGGTCATGATGTTTCATCACAGCACCAGAAATTTTAACTAATGCAAGTAGCATTATTTCTCTCATCTGCAGCTATTCTCACATATTTCCAAGCCCCAGCATCAGCCCCATCCCACATAAACTGTAAGGTGTGAAGATCAAGCTGAGAACAGGGAGCCAGGCTCACTTTAGCAATGGCAAAAACTGGGGGAGACAGAGTAAGTTTCGGATTTACCCTTTCCCTGGCCTAACAGCTCTTACCATAAGACTGGCTGGTGACCTATACGATAGGCATATGCAGACCTGGGTAATCCTTACCACAGAGCACACCTGAAACTAAAATTCTCAATTCCAGTCCCACCTGACTCCTGTTACCCTGAAACTCTACTCCCTAGTTCTCACCCACAATCCTCCAAGCCTTCACAGGGCTCTAGTCAGTTCCCCAAACATCTCGCCTTTCTCTCCTGGTGTCAAGCTGGGGACACTAATGATTCTACTTCTATATGTTTAAGTCTTGACTCTTAACTTTCTGATCTGTGTGTTTTTAAACATTCCAGTTTTCTGAAACTATTCATATAATCAATCCTGTTTTATCATAGGAGACTGAAATAAACTCATGATTAATGAAATAAACTGAAATACACTCGTCTAATCAATCCTATTTTATCATGGAGCCTGAAATAAACATTAGCACATTAGCACTAGTGTGCATTTCTTATACCCCACCCAAACTAGGCTGTTTTTATTACAATGCAATTAGGAGCCCAGGACTAGTTGGCCTGAGACTCACCCTTCTGCAGAAGTCAAGTGAACTTGGTGCTGGGCAGCTGGAGCTTCTTCAGTCCTGGCTGTGTCTTCACACTCCACCTCCTGCCTTAGGTTTAGGACCTCTGCTGTCTCTTCTTTCTTCAGGGAATTTAACTCTGATTCATCCTTCTCCAGGAGTGAAGGGTGGGAGGCATCTTTTGGCCACTTGAGACTGCAGAGCTGGACCTGTGAACCACCTTCCTGGGAAGACACAGGGCTGGGCCTGGGGCCAGAGCCTCTGCCCTCAGTTTCTGGGGAGCCAGACTCCAGGTGAGACACTTGGCTTCCCCAGGGGGCCAAGGTACAGGGCATGGGCTCCTGGAAACAGCCAACATCCCTCTCACCTGTGGAATGGCAGGAATGAGCATGCTCAGGGCTGGAGACAGGAAACAGCTGGCTGCTGCCTCCAGACCTCCTTCCCTCAAGTACTTCCCCAGCACTGGGCAGGATGTCCTGTCCTGCGGCAGTGATCTCTCCCTGTCTATCTGGTGGCAGCTTCCAGGACTCCAGTCCCCAGATAGCTCAGGGCTCAGGGATTGCTGAGCTAGCAAGACTCAAGCATTGGAAATGCTGTATCTTCTGTACAGCCCTTCATTGTATAAGTATTGGAAAGCTCATTTTATGTATGAAGGCACAAAAGAATTAATCCTAAGCATGTCTGGCTCCAACACAGTACAATGAATCCAACAAAGACTTCTGTCTCCACTCTGAATCCCAGAAGCCTTCCACCACTCAGTTTCCCAGATCCCCACACTGGGTCTCACCTCTGTTCTGCGAGACAAGAAGCTCCTGGGGCCAGGAAGAATCTTCTGTCTGCAGGTTCTCAAGTATGGGTGGAGCCAGGTCAGAGAGGCTTTGGGGTGTCTGTGAGTCCTGGAAACAAGAGAAATGAATGATATTAAGACTATATGGAAGCCCTTCCCTCCTAGAACTCCTTCCTCCCAGAACCCATGGAAACAGTCTGGGTCCTCCGTTCAGAACTGTGATTGGGAGAAGCACTGCACCACAGAAACCTTGGAAATCAGTGGGTTCATGGTTCTTCACAGAGGGAGAAGGTAAGACACAGAGGGAAAGACACTTGCCCAAGGCTGTACAGGATGTGTGGTGGCAGGTCTAAGGTCAAATCCAAAGTTCTGTGATTCCTGGATGGATTCATGGTCCACAGAGAGTGATTTAGGTGAGCCTGGACTAAGATTGTCTTCCCCAGAAGTATGAAATAAGAGACCCTTGATCTGGCTATGAAATTGTTCCAGGCCCTTTCCACGCCTCATAAGACCCTTCCTCCTTACAGGCTGCTCCCACCCCAGATGGGGTGTGTTGTAGAAAGGATGATGGCCATCTCCTCCTGGGTGGAGTTCCCAGGCTTCCCTTTAAGAAAGCAAAGCCTTGGAAGAAGGTCCTGGGACAAGTATCTCCAGCGACTGCCTCTGATCACCATTGTTCTTTGGGAGTGGAGAGATTAGGAGGTTACAAAAATCTTCTGTCATCTTGAGCTGCCCTTATCTCTAAAGCAGAGAATTTCTGGGAAAACTGTCCCCCTGACTGCATCACATAACTTGTGACAAACCCTGATTGATATCAAGGCTCCTATGTCATTGTTGTAAGGGCTGATCTATCGACCCTGCACAATGAAAATGAAGGATCCTGAGCTGAAAGTAAAAAGATGCTGAAATCTCTCAAAAGAGAGGACAAGATTCCTAAAATAGCTCTCTGGAGGCTGCTCAGGCTGCTCTGTGACAGCCAGAGATTCCTGGGCAGTAGGAAGGAGGATCCCAGAATGACTTGGACCATGAAGGGAAGGGCTGCCTGTTTTCTAAGTCAGTTCTTCTAGTCTTACTTAGCTCCTTGGAACTGGTGACATGGAGATTCCAGAACTCAATTGCATCTGTGTTCCAAATGGCATTATTGTACTGATAAAACCTCCCATTATTCTGAAATCTACATGAGTCAGTCTTTGTGAGAGTATGTGCATGTGTGCGTCTGTGTATGAGTGTGTGCCTGTATGTGTCTACATATGTCCATCTCTCTCTCTCTCTTCCCCTCCTTCCTGTGTGTGTGTGCGTGTGTAGTGTTTACAGATGAGTATGTCCAATTTGGAGAATACAGAGGCTGATGTTAGTGTCCTCTTGTGTGGCTCTCTGTGGAGAGAGCATTTTTTCAGACAGAGTATCTCTTACTAAACCTGAGGCTTGCTATTTTGGCTAGATTGGCTGGCCATTGAGATCCTGGGCTCCTCCTGTCTCCACTCTCTTCCCTTCAGTGTTGGGTTACAGGTGTACATTGACACACCCAGCTTGTACATGGAATTTGGGGACCTCAAATTGGCATTTTTTCCACTCAGCCATCTCCCCAGTGACACACACACTGGCAACTTTGGTGTTCTTTTATCTCAGATCCCCCAAAACTCTATCTTCTGAACACTGTCCCCTGTATGACTTCCCCCCCCCCCCCCAAGGCCCTTCCTGTCATGTTCCCAGCCCAGCCCTCAGCTGGCTTTCTCGGATAACTTACCTCACCCTCCTGGTCAAGAGGTACTGTGAAAGCTTCTTCAATGGACCCCAAGGCCATGCAAGGGTGCATCTTATAGAGAGGCACAGGGAATGGAGGGGTGGTGCACCCACCATGGTCAGCAATGTTGCTCCCCAAACACAGCTCACTTCCTGGCCTCCAGAGCCCTGTGCCTTCTTGGAGTGGAGAATCCAGGGGTTCAGGACTATGATGCCAGCTCTTCCCATCTGGGTACCCCCAGGAAAAGCATTCCCCTTCAGCACTGGTGTCTGAGGAAGGGCTCTCCAGGAAGAGAGGATTGTCAAAGAAGATGCTGTCCTCCTCAGCACCCCACTCTGGGGAGGAGCCTGGCATTTGCCCTTTCGGCCAGGTCTGGTTCTCCTCTTCAGGCCCACTGCTATCATCCTCAGGGTCTTCATCCGCCTTGGGCAGGCTGGGGCTCAGGTCCACATCACCAAGGAAGTCCTTAGAAGATGGAGGGATGCAACACCTCAGTTCTGCTCTGAGTCCCTCTGTTTTCTCCAGCTCCTCCTCGAGGTCCAGAACACACATCTGGGCCTGCAGGATGCCAGCCCAGAACACCACCTGTGTGGATGAGCTCTGATTCTGCTGTGGACTCCCCAAAGGGCAGTTGTCCCCTACTGACCTCAGTGATGCTGGAGTCTTCCTGGCCTCCCCCTGAAAAGAGCATTCTTCCAGGCGAGTGGGCTCCACGCCAGAGTTACCATGATGAGCATCAGGCCTGGTGGACTGAGGGGGGTCAAAGGGCCAGGCGTATTCCTGGCAAGGTTCATCAGGGCCTGGATGGCTACATATATCACTTGGACATGTCCCTGGGCAGGGCTGTAGGTTATCTTCCAAGCAAATGTTGAGAAATTCCATGTGTCTGAGGTGGTCCAGGGGTCTGTTGTCACCCATCATCCACAGAGGGAAAGTTGAGCAGAAGCCCTTGGTAGTGTCTGTTTTCACAATCCCATTTCATGAATTAGTAGGTGCATAAGGCAAGGAGGGAACTGGAAAACCACATGCAGCCTGTAAATGTCCAAAGTGAGTGCAGGTTAGAGAGGGACTATAAAGTTTTGTTCCCAAAGTGCTAGACACACCAGAACCCACGCCTGGGATGATCTGCTAAAGAACCCTGCCCTCTCATCCCTGCAAGACATACCCTGTGGCCTCACAACCTCAAATTGGCATCAGAATGGCACTTGTTCCAAAGACTCTCATCTGTTGGCTGAAGGATTCCCATGTGGCTCCACACAAAAAGAAGCATCGGTCAATCAGGGCTTTCTTTTGGGAGTTTAGTTTAGAGAATGAAGAGACAGAGGGAGGTACATCAGAAAGAGCTAGAGCACCTGAGGGCAGCAGAAAACGGAAAAGACATGTAAGTGAGAATGTGCAAGAGTCAGACATAGGCTATGGAAGCAGGAGAAAGGAACAAGCTCACAGGAGCAGCAGGCACCAGGAGAGCAAAGCCATGGCCTGCTTCCTTTCTCAAGGTTTGAGTCCTGTTTGTGGGCCTTCACATTCACAAGGCCAGCTCCTAAGCTGCTTCCTTATGTGCTATGCACAGTTGTACAACTTAAGGCAGAAGCACTGAAGGGCTCCCCACTCAGTCTCATGGAGGAGAAGCTTTAGCCCTTCTGTCCCACCAAGGAGTATAGCACTTGTTTCATAAAGGGGAGAGTCTTGACGTCCAGAGAGGGTGAGACCAGGAAGCAATGGCCACATGTGCCTGAGGCTTCAAATGTGAAGCAAGCTTTCTGGTACATCCAAGACTCCCTGTAGCATTGGAGACCAATCTTCATCAGATGCATCCAAGGAACATATGAGAATGTTGCTGTGAGTCTCCACCATCTGTGTGAAATGCAAGCTTAGCTGGTTGCCAGAGTGGCCCTGATCATCTTAGTGACTGGCCTGTTTAAATCTACTGGACACTGAAACTCATGACCTGTGGCCAGTTTCCCTCTTGTGCTGGCCCCAGGAAGTGCAGAGGAAAGCACACAGATGTATGACATGTATTTGCAGTTAAACACCTCTTGTTTCATCAAATACTTCTTTATTTTTCTCTTGTCTCACTTTCTTCTAACATAATTCTTGAAAGACTGCAGGTGTGCTTGCAAGCTACTGATGTGGGAAAACAGAGTATGAATGAACATGTGAGATGAGTTCCCAGCCTACAACTACAGCTGACTCACACAGCCAAGAACGACAGACCCTTCTATGTATCCAGCTAGATATGCCCATCTTCTCTACCGTACATATAACCTGGCACCTGGAAGATAACTATACAGTTGTTGCCTTCCTATGACACAGACAAGGAAGCCACAGTCTGAGCTGGGCTTGTCGACCCAGAGCTGGAAACAGAGGCCCAGCTCTGACTTCAGAGCCCTGCCTTTCATTCCATGATATCCTCATCCCTCTCCTGCTGAAGAAACAAACAGTAGTTTGTTACCCAGCTGGCTATCCCTAACATCACTCTCTCTGGAGCCTTTCTAGACCTTAAACTATGTTCCTTCTCCAGGCAGGTGGTAAAGAGGGTGGGATGTGTTTTACCTGAAGTGTAGTGCCCCAAGAATATATAAGAAACCCATGGCGTCAGTTCAATTCCTCCATGTCAAGCAGTAGAAAGTGTGGGGATGAATGAATGACCACAGGCCTTGGAGCTACCCCTCCTTGCAACTGAGAGATGAGTGGATGAACCTAGGGAGTCATCCCTGTGACTGAGGGTCACTTATAAAAGACCCCACCTCAGAGGAAAGCTGCCACCATTGTCAGCCCAGGCTTGGATACTCGTTGATGCTAAACCTCAGTGCTTACACACTAAGGCTGGGTGGCATCTACATACTCTTCAAGATCACTTAAAGGATGTGGCTTCACCTACGACTGCCAGAGAGAGATGAGGTTGGGCTAACATGTACATCAGTCTCCTCATCTGCAAAGTCTCCTCCCGAAAGACTGGAAAATAGAGCCCCGAGCTGGGTTTTCCTTTTTCACTCTGTCCTGACACCACGTTCCTTGCTTTATTATGAACCTGGAGTTGCTCAGTAATAATAAAGTTCTGGAATTTTAGCATCCTGAAAGAACCCTGACCAGGCTTCAAGTCCCTCTATCATTTAGTGATAAATCAGTCCCTCCCAAAGACAGAGTTCAGAAAAGAAGAGCCATTGTCTTTAACTTTATCTCTGAGTCAAATGAATTGAAATTAGCCTCGCCTGTCAGTCTTCTCCGAATGTCGTAGGTTGGCCTCCACTCATCATCCTTGCTTCTGTCTCTCATCACATCTCCAACCCCAGACTGTAGGCTGAGAACTTACAACCTTTGCTATCTATGTCAAAAGGCAAGATAGGTGACCTTGTCCCTATGCAGCTACTCATTTCTGCCCTCACTGCTCTCTGTGTAAGAGGCCTCAGACAGTCCTACTTCCAATAGGAAACTGACAAATATACCTCAGAACCCGCTATAGTCTGGACCCTCAAAGGCCTATGCATTCGGGCTTGTCTCCAGCTGGCACTAGTGGTGGCACTAGAAACTTTATAAGACCTCCTCTAGGAAGGCATGTCTATGAAGGGGAATGGGCCATGAACTGAATGGCTTTGCTCTGCCATGTGCTTCATACCATGATCTGATGCCTTGCCCCAAAATAGTTGGGCCAGTCAGCCATGGGCTAGACCCTTCACAACTGTGACCTTTACAACTGTGGGCCAAAACATAGTCTTCTCTTTATAGGTAATTTTCTCAAGTATTTGTTATAATGACAGGAAACTAATATAAGATATGCTCTCATGTTAGCGAGTTTCCTAAATCACAACCATCACCCTTGGGCCTGCCTTATAGAAAATGATCAAGTGAAAGATGAACATGGAATATCCATGTTAAGGCTTCCTCAAGTAAACAGACCATAGGGCACAATAAATAACAGGGACAAATGATCCACACTGAAGCTAGAGAAGAATGGAGAGAAGCACTTGGTTACAGGTGCTAGATTAGGCGTCAGTGCAGCCCCACCCTCCCTTTCTTCCCAGACCCCAAGGCAGGGCCTCAGACCCTCCTTTTCCCAGCTAAGGCCTGATCCCTGTGTATCTGCCTGGTTCTTTTCCTGTGTGTAGTCCCTTCTCTTTTCCTCATTCTCTGACCCCCATACATCACAACTTAATGTGTTTCTGCCTCTAAGTCCCATCTAACCATGTAGCCAGGATGACTCACTCTCACTATGGAATTCATTTGACAAGACATGTGCATGTGTGATCTTGGGAATAGGAACGAGGCACCGAAGCCTGGATGGCGTCCCATGTTTCTCTTCTCAAGTAGGTACTTATACATACATACATGCATGCATGTACGTGCATAAAGCACCAATGATGGCATATGTGTGTGGTACCATGGGCATCTCGGAATACTGGGTTTTATTGGGTTTGCCTTCCTGGAAGAAATCCAGTATTTCTCCCGAAGTTTTCAAAGATGGGGGTGTGGTCTCTATAATTTTCTAGAGACCAAAAAGGAGAGAGTAGATCCCTGAAGTCTGGTATACGAAAGACTTAGGGAGAGAAGAGTCTAGGAGGACAAGGGAAATTGGGGTAAAGGGGCAGAAAGGGGAGTTAAGAAAACCCAAAGCCAACTGGTTGGCATGTGGTTTGACTGGGCCAACATTCTTTTAAAGCAATTAAAGTCAACCTGACTGCATTCCACATTGCTCTATTTCAGTGTTCAACTCTCAGTGTTTACTCAAAGGGCTCTTGTTGCCTGGAAGTAAACACGGAAAATTCTTACTTCTCCTGAGCTTCCTATTCACTGTGGAGACTCTCATTACTGGGTGGGGGATCATGTCCTACGCAGTGCAACCCTCACATTTCTTGGAATTATATCATTAATCTTTAGTTCAAGTCTGGTTTTGACCTGAGATGTTCAGGTCTCTCTCTATGATCCCTGAGGTCTAGAGCTCAGGTGAGTCTCAGTTCCTGGAGGTCAGGACATATGGAAGGCGTACACCTTCATGGTAGGGTTGCCAGTTAGTGGATAAACATGTGAGGGAGCCGGGCCCATGGATGACAGAGTATTTGTCTATCATGTCCAAGACCATGGGTTGATACCCAATAATGTTTTCAAAAGAATGAAAAACAAAACAATAATCCAGCACTCCCAATGTCTGTGACATGCTTGAAAAAAACCCTACTAGTTTATCAAACATCCAAATTTAACTTGTAATTCTATGTTTTATTTGACAACCCAATGCCACGGGAGAAGGTACAGATAATAGTCTCCAGTCCCTGCAAACAGACTACTTATCCAGCTGTATAGCTCATCTCTCACCAGGCACCCTGTAAATGAGGCAAACAAAACACCCCTTCTTTCTAACAAAAAAGCTAAAGTTTGGAGGGGTTCTCAGAGTTTTTTAGGTAGCTCAGCAAACATGTGAGAGAGCTGAGGTTTCAACCCAGGCGTCAGGCTCCTCTAGACAATACTCTTATTCCCACCCACAAGTCAGTGTGCTTCTTCCTTTTTTTTTTTTTCTTTTTAGCTTTTCAATATTCCTTCATGAATGGGCAGGATGGATGACCTGAAGGGTTTAGTCCTTCTGATGGCCATCATAGCTGCCCTCGCAGTCATCTGGCTGAAATCTGAGACCAGCCTTTTTTCTCTGGATGAAGAAAGGCATCTCCTAGACAGAAGCAGTCCAGTAACAAAAGAGCAGAGCACATGCATGAATTAGGCAGGATCCTCCACCCCTTTCTTACATGTATTGTGTTTGTGTGAGGATAACTTGGGGAAATCAGTACTCTCCTTCCACCAGGTGGATCCCAAGGATAGAGCTCTGGTCTTTGGGCTTGGTGGCAAGCTCCTTTACTGGCTAAACTATTTGACCATCCCAGTAAAATCTTTTTTGAAATCTCTCATCTCAGGTACTGAACAAAGCTGCAAAGAAAGAATTCAGCAATAAAAGGCTAAGTTGGGTTCTCTTGCCTCTAACATAAAGTGGCCTTTCAATTTTTCGAAGTACTTTGAAGCCTTGAGAAGTTGACAGAGACATTCTGGGA